AATAAAATATTTTCACACCCATATGTCAGGATGACTGTTTTCCTTTGCAATCCTGTGCTTTTTCTTAATGGATTTCTAGCTGTCTCCAGAGAAGGAGCCCATCGGCAGCCTGCCCCTACCCTCGGAGGCAGCACAGAATCAGGCCGCAGTTTAGGCAGATTAGTGAGGTCCTAAACCGGCCTCCTAAAGATACCTAATCCCAGACCAGCAGCCAGCCAGCAGGCCCAGGGCCACACAAAGTCCCTCGGCCGTGTCCCCAGCTCTCAGCCAGGGCTGCCATGGCCTCCCTGTTCTCTGGCCACGTCCTGATTCGCAACAACAGCGACCAGGACGAGCTGGACACGGAGGCTGAGCTCAGCCGCAGGCTGGAGAACCGGCTGGTGCTGCTCTTCTTTGGCTCTGGGTCCTGCCCGCAGTGCCAAGCCTTCGCGCCTATCCTCAGGGACTTCTTCGTGAAGCTCACAGATGAGTTCTACGTGCTGCGGGCAGCCCAGCTGGCTCTGGTGTACGTGTCCCAGGATCCCACGGAGGAGCAACAGGATCTGTTCCTTAGGGACATGCCGAAGAAGTGGCTCTTCCTGCCCTTTGAGGATGACCTGAGAAGGTGAGGTGGGAGAAGAGGTGAGGGAGGGCTTCCTGGAGGAGGAGCTATTTCTGCTGAAAGGTTTGTTTATTGTTGCCTCTGTTCCATCTGGAATTGATAAGCACGCATCCTGTGTGCCCGTCCATACCCAGACGGGGTGGGGAGGGGGCCACCCAGGGGGGTGCATATGCTCATTTCTATTTAGCTCCCAAGGAGCTTACAATCTAGTTGGGGAGACAGACGTGACACAAAGACTCAAACAAATATATAATAAGAAACTGCAGTAATGGTCCAGAGGACAAAGAAGGATGCCATGTGGAAATATAATGGGGAGACCTTGCTGAGGTTTGGGGTCAGGGGATGCTTCCCTGAGGAAGTGGCTTTAAAGAGAGACCCCAAGGCCAGGGAGGATAGGAAAGAGTGAAGAGAGGGAAGGGTTTCCAGGCAGAGGGCACAGCACAGATAAAGTCTGGGAGGCCATCAGAGAAAGACAGCCAGTTCAGGGAACTGTAAGTAATACCAAATGGGAGAGGTCTGCAAGCATTGTGTGGAGCAGCGCCACAAACCCCATCTTAACGGGAGTGGATGCGATCCTCAGAGTAGCTGGGAGCCAGTGAGGAGGGCCTTGGAGCTGAGAGAGAGGTGGGTAGATTCAAGCTTTGCACCCAGCTGCCCAATAAGCAAAACTACAGCTCGTGGCTATCTTAGGACCTTCCCCTTTTCCGAAGTAAGGCGTCCCTTCTTTTTATTTATTTTTTTAAAGTTTTTAGATTTTTTTTTTTTTAAGATTTTCTTTATTTGACAGAGAGAGAGCACAAGCAGGGGTAGAGGCAGAGGCAGAGGGAGGAGCAGGCTCCCCACTGAGCAGGGAGCCCGATGCAGGGCTCGATCCCAGGACCCTAGGATCATGACCTGAGCCGAAGGCAGCCACTTAACCAACTGAGCCACCCAGGCGCCCCTAGATTTTATTTTTAAGTAATCTCTACACCCAACATGGGGCTCAAACTCACAACCCTGAGATCAAGAGTCACACGCTCCTCCAACTAAGCCAGCCAGACGCCCCGGCTTTCCTTCTTTTTAAACTCGAACTTTTCATTATGAAAAATGTCCAAGATCCCACAAGCTGGAAAAAGCATGCAATGAAACCCAGAGCAGTCGTTAACATTTTGCCATATTTGCTTTATCTACACACATTGGGAGCTTGCACGGAGCCATTTGAAAGTGAGTCGCAGGCTTTCTGACACTTTACTGATTTCGTTAATTTTGCTCCACACGTTGGAAGTTTCTAGAGACCTTCATTCTGCACCCAGCATTATCAGAGTTTGGACACTTGCTCACTCCTTCTGCCCTCTCTGCCGCTGAGGGGGATCTTTCCTGCAAACTGGTAACATTTCCCTTCCCAGGGCAGAATGAAGCTGTGAAGGCATCAGAGCCAAACTCGGACCTGCTGACCTCGTTTGAGGCAGGACCCTCTCGACAAAGCCTTCACTCAGGCTAGGTTAGGTGTCTGGACGGAGAGTGAGCGATTCCCCACCCCCTTCTCCTCACCCCCCTCCTCCCCCCCTACACACACACACACACACACACACACACACACACACACACACACGCTCACGGTTCCCAGATAAAACACAGGCTGCCCGGTTAAAAACAAATTTCGCATCAACAATGAATAATTTTTTGGTATATTTTTTTAAATTTTTTTAAAGATTTTATTTCTTTATTTGACAGAGAGGGGGAGAGAGGGCTCACAAGTAGGCAGAGTGGCAGGCAGGGGGAGAGGGAGAAGCAGGCTCCCCGCTGAGCAGAGAGCCCCACGCAGGGCTCCATCCCAGGACCCTGGGATCATGACCTGAGCCGAAGGCAGACACATGCCTAACCAACTCAACCACCCAGGCGCCCCAGTATACATTTTTAGTATAAGTATGTCCCACATAGTGCATGTTGTGATGTGATATATAATATATATAATATAATATAA